GGAGGGGAGGGAGTGTACATGTTGGGTATTAAATGAACAGACAAGTCAATTTTCATTATTTTTTTTTTTATAAAATATGTTTAAGTATAAATTTGACTGATGCCTAATAATCAATATCTATAGAAGTATATCTTACAAAAGACTTTAATACACCAAGCTTTAAAAGAGCATTCAGCTTCCTCACGTTTGATGAGAAATTACATGTTTTCAAAAATACTCTAGTTTACAATATTTGTTTTCTATACAGCAAAATATAGGGATTAACATTGGCAACATAATGCTGATACAAAACTACCTGCAAAGACTTGTATATACCCCGTCTTTCCAGCATGCTTCAATATTTGGCACTCAACCAGACCAACAATAAATTAGGGTAAAACCATTTTGTTTAGAGGGTACATATATTACACAATCAGGGGAGGGGAGGGGAGGAGAGAATTAAAGAAATCATGATTTGATTACTCTGCCACTAACTCGATTAAATTAATACATTTTGAGAAGAGTTTTTTTTTTTTAAATATGTGACATAATTTTCAAATTTGTGAATATTTCTATTTGGTCTGGTTGTCAATATTTCTTCTCTTATAGTTTCATTAATATTTCGAAAAACATGATTGTGACATTTTCAGAGGATTTCAACCACATCTTCTTTCAAAACAACTGGACTGAACCAAGCATACTGTGCAAAGCAGGGGTGGCAGGTAACAAACAATATTCTTGCAGAAGAGAAGATCTAATGTTTCACTTATACATGACCATTCCGACTTATTGTATCTTGAATAAACTAGGAATACAGTTACAACAGCCATGATATATAACAGGCCCCCTAGTAAGGTAGAACAGTGCATGCAGGCAGCATTAAGCCTGTGGTCATTTACAAACATTTATAGAATAACCGCTTATAGGTTGAATGAAGTGGGGATAAATAAATTAGGTATTTTGAATATGTGAAAAGTTTTTGAATCATTGCGTGTTCATCACAAGACAGGATGATGCCAGTCAGATGAAATTACCACGGTTTCACCACTACTGAACTATATTTTTGACCTGCAGTATTTGGTGTCAAAAAAAAAACACAAAAAAAAAACATTTTCATCAAACTTTGTCAACATTTCATATTTACAGATAAGTACAGACATTTAGTATTACTCTGTTTTGAAAAATAACTTAGTTATAGCAAGAAAAAAAAAAAAAAAATCTTTGCTATATGCACACTAATTGTGGAAAAAAAACATACGAAAGAAAGCAACCTAACGGCAGTTGTTAGTTGGGATGTGATTGTCACAGTATTATTTTGCTGCTGCAGTAGTAGTAGCACACACACGTAGATGCAAATAATGGATCAGTCTAACTATATTCTCTTTACTATATTTGGAGAAGTAGTATAGACCCCTGTATGAGCGGACAGCACCTGAAAATGCATGCTGCGTAAAGTTAGCAACATTCTAAGAACATTAAATAGTGTCGAGTCTGAATAGACTAAGAAATAGTTGGTTTCCCACTCAGCTGTAGTTGTTTTTTTTTGTTTAAATGAGGCATATTTACAGAAATTCTCTTTGCAGTATGAAATAGCACCTTCAAAGTAAAGAGACAGGAATTAAAAAGAATTGCAGAGGGACATAAAAAAAACTGCAGAGTGGCAAACCATATAACATATTGTTTACATAATGATAACGGGATGCAATGTGTTATTTTGCTGTTTTATCTACGGGAACTTTCTGTAGAAAATATAATGCAATTATAATGCAAAATGCTAACAACTTGAAACAAACAAAAAAATTATACAAAATAAAATAATAGCAGAATAAACAGCAACATAAAATTTAAAACCTTTGGTGAAAATAAAGCATGATACTGAGAGAGTTGTCATGCCAACACATTATCTTACAAGAAAGTCAAGAATTCAAAATTACAATAAATTTTCTAAATTTTGGCCTTTAGTTATGATACAAATGTTCAGCTTTACAGATTACCATGGCAACAGATGTTGCGATATCTAAGTAGTAGTTTAAATTAAGTACAGTTGAGCACTGCCACTGAGACACTATAGTAACCACGGCAATGTATATATTGTTCTGTATCCACACTGTGTTGCTATTGGTAACTATTCTTCTTTTATTAAATTTTAAATATTATTATAACCATTTAACAAATGGCTTTTACGGAGAGTCTGTTGCTGGTGAAGGCGGAGGGGGGTATGGATTACAGAAACTTCGTTCCGTTGATGGTGATGGCGGACAGCTCTCGTAATTATCTGAAAGAACACTTTGGGGAGTCGGGGGCGGCGGATACGGATTCGAGTAATATTTCCTCTTGTTGGGACGTGAATATGGTTCACTATCTTCACATACGTCAGTACTACACGGCGTGGGCGGTGGTGGAATATTCCGTGATTTGTAATGTCTGTAATGATAACAGATGAATGATTATTTATAGTGGCAAGGAATCATTTTAATACAATCTAGTCAGCAAACAGTGACGTTTATAATAGGCGTTTTGAATCTATCAATAATAGAAATGACACACTGTATTACACTATTACTAGAGCATCACTTATGACAAAGGTACGAGTATGGTCATCATGGTCCATAGTACAATCAATGCAGTTTTGTGTTTATGGTCACTTCTAACAAAGAAAATATGGTACCGTAAAAACCCGCAAATAAGCGCCACCCTCAATTAAGAACCACTCAATGAAAATTTGTTACATTTGACCCTCCATTAAGAGCCACCAAGAGTTGAGTGGTTTTGTCAATAAGAACCCTGAAATAAGTGCCAGCCGCCCGGTTGTTTACAATCAGGCAGACACCGAGCTTGTCGTGCCTCACTTCCACCCTGCATTGTTTATTGTCCCACAGAAGGTGTGAGACAAATAAAGATTATCCCCATAACTTGCCCGATGTCCTGTGTAATCATAGACCTGTTTTCTAAGGTCTATGGTGTAATTGAGAACGGAAGAATGATAGACGAAAGAAATGCACTGAGAGCGTGAATGTGACTGTCAAATTGTCTATTTTATATTTCTGACACACAATCGACCAATTCACAAACTATTTAGTAGTAACTACTAGTATGTTTTTTGCTAAAACACCGAAGGACACGTTGAGATATTCATTGCCAATGTTGTCTTTATAACAACAGTCCCTCCACAACTGTGTTATAACC